TTTATCACGTATTTGTTTTCGCATACAAATCTTTTTATTATAATTTTTTAATATATGTGTAATTTTTTAATCATAACAAAAAGTATTTAAAGATTCATTGTTTATAAATATGAATTTCAGAATTGGAATTGATTAATTATAGTATAATAATTATAGGATATACGTCGTTTTTTGTTTTGTGCTTGCGGCTTCAAGTTCTTTTGTCGAAGTGATTACACGATCGTTTGTTCTGTTGCTGAGGTTTGAGCATAATGATGTAGTCTACACCTCTTACTTTTTTATGGCAAAAGCAAACTCTAAAAAGTGGGCCCTTGTGTCACCTCTGCCACTGTTAACGCTTCTTGGTTTGTGAAACGCCGTCCATATGGAAAACGCATCTAAATTTTTAGTGACTGAAAAATTAGCAACTAAAGTATCTTCTCTTTTTTTCTTTTTTTTTTATGCATCAAACTTATGACGGTTTTTGTAAAAAAAAAAAAGGGCACAATCATTCTAAAGAACGAGGCAGCCAAAAAAGACAAATCTCTGGAAAGGAGATAGGATAAGAAGAGAAAAGGTAAATAAACGGTTGGTAGAGAGGGCGAAAGAAATGGGGAGAGGGGGGAAAAAGCGAGACGAAGTGAAAGGAGGAGTAGTAATGGCAAATGGCCTTTTGTGGTCATCTATAGATGAGCCTCATGCTTCAAAGAGACGTCAGATCCTCTCTCAGTACCTCAAATTAAAGTACTCTTTGGCCCTTATCACTTTGCTTTCCTTGAGGTATCCCGTCACTTCTTTTCTTTTTCTTCTCAATCTTCAATTTGTTTGTTTCACTGCTTTTAGATCTGGGGTAATGCCACTGGATAAAACCTTTTGATCTTTTATCTATTTTTTCTCTGTTTTGTTATTTAGCTAAATGGAATCTGGGTCTTTTCTTTTCTTTTCTTTTTTTTTCTTTCTCTTTTTTGGGATTAAAAGAAAGTTGTAACTTTCAAGTCACATTGTTTGGAATTAGGCTCTTCAAGCGATTTGATTCCATGGTTTTTTTTTTTTAATCATTGATGCTTCGAAATTTTCATTTTTGTCTTTCAACTAGCTTTGGTCTTTGAGATTGTGGTTCACATCACCTAGTTGAAGTCACCATCAACTTTTTACCAAACCCATCTTTTTTTTTTTGGTTTTATTCTTATTCTTTTCCCTCTATTGCTGGTTTTTTCTGATAAAGAACTTTCAAATGATAGATCCATTTGAAGTGAATTGTGTTAATGAATATAAAGAAATGTGTGCAATACTCATCTTCTTGAAACTTTGGCATTGCAGATTAGTACGTTTGTTTTGCTTTGGCTATGGACCGCTACTACCCTCCATGATGCTGGCTGGCTGAAGATGTTGGCAATTGCCTATTTTTTTGGTTAATTCCTCAACCACAACCTCTTCTTGGCCATCCATGAGTTCAGCCACAATCTTTCCTTCTCCACTCCTGTCTACAACCGTTGGCTTGGGATTTTTGCTAACCTCCCTATAGATGTGCCCATGGCTGTCACTTTCCTGAAGTATCACCTTGAGCATCATCGTTTCCAAGGGGTAGATGGCATGGACATGGATGTCCCAAGCTACACCGAAGCCCATCTTTTGATTAATGTTGTCTCAAAAGTCATTTGGGTCATCTTCCAACACTTCTTATATGCGCTCCACCCTCTATTTATCAAACCAAAGCCCCCTGGTTATTGGGAGTTTATCAACTTATTTATTCAGATTGCTCTTGATGCGACCTTAGTTTATTTTTGGGGCTGGAAATCTTTTGCTTGTTTGATCCTTTCAACATTTGTTGGGGGTCCATTTCATCTCTGAACATTTGTACTCAAGCCTGATCAGGAGACGTATTCTTACTATGGTCCCCTAAATCTTTTGACTGGATAAGGTAAAGGAGATTGCTCCAGAATATTATTAGGAATTGGAATCATATAAATCTTGGAGCCAGTTATTTACATGTATATTATGGATCCGAGTGTTGGGCCATTTAGCCGAATGAAGAAGAAGCTCTCAAAAAAAAATCTGAATCGGAGTTTCCCCATTCGCTGTCTTTTTCTTGTCCCCCCTTCTTGGTTTCAATGTGGGATTACTACATTTCTTATCCTAATCTTGTTTTTGTTTGTAACATTCTTGAGGAATATCATTTAGTTTTAGATGATGGAGTTAGTTATTCTTTGATTAATCATTCAAAGATCAATTTTTTTTTCACTCATATATCTTTGGACATTTGAGACAGGCTTTGTTGTTATTGGTTTTTTCTCTTGCGTTATTCAAGACACTCTCATAACTTAAAAGTCATCAAGAATAGCGTAATAAATTACTATATAATTATACAGTGGCCAGTTAAATCATGTTCTAAGCGTAAATAGTACAGATCATATATAGATCATTAATAAGAAGGATATAGATACATACAAAACATTGGGTAATTGATGCTATATCTTGCTGGTATAAGGTCCTAGGCTGCCCCTAACTTGGTTGTGCTTGCATGGTGTGTTCTGCTTTTCTGATGTCTTGCGAATGATACAGAAAATTGCTGCTACCCTTTTCACTTATTCGTCTGTTCATGATCAATCAATAACATCAGAAGAGACCAACAGAAGTAAATAAAAATGTCGTATTTTGACCAGGGAAAAAGGCAGTTGGAAAGAATTCTTACATTCCAAGCTTCATTCTTGTTAGTAAAGGGATAATCTCCAATGACATAACCAGGTTGTCGAGCATGGTTATTTATGAGGGGAAGCCTGGTTGGAGGGAATTCTTCATCACTATCATAGATGGAGCATTCATTGGGGCCAAGGGCTCTGAGGGCCATGGCTAATAGTACCGAAAGTCCCTACGGAGGGAAGGGAAGGGAAAAACAACCAGCTGAACATAACATAGTTTCGGAACTTAACATATCCTTCATCGCTGATTTCTTTCACAGATCTACATAATTCATAAATATTCATTCTTCTTCTCCTTTTCCGGTTTTGAAGTAGTAAGTTTGGTCCAAGCATCATAATTCTTAAAAGAGGAAAGCAAAGTAGATGTTTAACAAGATCTCCACTAATGAGTTTACCTGTCCTAAGAATGATAATGCAGGCCAATCCATTTGAAGATGTCAATGTTAGCTTGGCCAACAAATTCTTTGAAATGATGGAACCTCCCCGTTGGATCTTCAGGTAAATCCTGATCAGTGACAAGCAATCAGACGCAAGAGAGACTAAGTGAAGCAGATAACGGGAATTCCACCAACCTTCTCCCAGTCAGAATTTAAAAGTATATCAGCTGGCATTTCCCAGTCCTACCCAGGAGAAGCACAGAGATGATCACCATATACTGCTTCCATTTAAGGACAACAAGTATTGCTTGGCTGGCACTAGATTTGTACCGTTTACATATTCAAAAAGGAAGTAATGCTTCTTACTTAGACTTCTGAAGAATGGGAACAGGCATTAGTAAAGAATTTCTCTTGAACTCGAATAAAAGCATTAGATGAAAACCGCAATGAAAAAGGATACACAGAAAAGGCAAAAACCCATCGCGCTGTCTGCACAGTATGACCTAGGCAATGTTAGGCAGCATAAGGTGGACCGCCTGTGCCCAGAAAAGTTGTTATAAACCTGCAGTTTTATATACCAATGCTAGTAAGAATTGTCAACTTCTCCTAATAAACAAGGCTCAAATAGCGGGTGAAAATTAGCAGAAACATATGCGCAAGAACAAACCTTTGTTAAAACTCATAAAAGAGCTCAACTCCAATCACCATGGAGCAGTCGAGTTAAAGTCATCAAATGATGAACCTCCCCATGTCTCTCTGCAAACTCTTACCATCCAAAACCATATAAAATGCATAGCAACCCCCACCATTGCCATTATCAAATTCACACCTTTCAGGATTGATTGCATGCAAGATTTTCTAGTTCTTGCCATTACGAGAAGAACCCCCCAAGCCGATTTTTCTGATAACCAGGATAATCTCAAGATTAACAAGTAGCTTCTTGGGATCTTGGACACTATAGACCTTTGAATATCGGACAAGGAGAAGACGGTGTGGCAGTGGTTTACAATCAAAGAAACAGTGACATTTTTATTGTTTTTCTCTTGTTTGTGTGCTCATTCCTCACATAGAAAAATTTTAAGATGAACAGTTTGATGCACCATCAAGTTTCTTTAGAAAAATTTATGCTGTCTGGCTGTTGAGTTATAAGGTGAAAATTTTGCTAATCTTAACTTCATAAAAAATATCCATAAGCTACACTTGTTTATTTATTTATTATATCCAAATGTGTGGGATTTTAATTGCCTGAGTAAAAGGGTATGGTACATAAATTTTAAATTTCCACAGGAACAGGTGAAAATAATTAATGCCATTGTCAAATGGAATGATTGAAAGAGGAAATTTCTCGGAAACTATCTGTCTGTTTTCTTGTTGCTTGGCTTTACATCTTTCCATACCAGCAAATAATGACCCAAGTTTCCATTTTGATTCCATGTGTTCTAAAAAAAATAAAGTGTTGATTTAATCCACACTTGTACATCGAAGGTTGCTGTGGTGTAGTGGTTATCACGTTAGTCTTACACACTAAAGGTCCCAAAGTTCGATCCTGGGCAGCAACAAATTTTGTACATTTTTTTTACAAGACTGGCGCTTTTGATCAATTAATTTCCTCATAATAAATTGGTAGGCAATTAATCTCCTAATATTTTTCGTTGAGTTTTCCTTTTTTCTTTTTTTTTTTAGTTCTTAATATATCTTTAATCTTCTTTACCCTACTACATTACTTGACTAAAGATAACATTACACACCCAAACTCTCTCAAACTTGCAAACTCAAAATTTCAACTCTAATGACATGCTCATATCTTGTTTGTAGTTGTGCCCGTTGTTACAATTATCATGCTCTATTCCAAAATTGGGAGGTGTTACTGTTTACTTGATATATTTAATATTATAAGAATAAAATTAAAGCGAAAATAAAAAGCAGAAAACTGAGAAATATTGCTTTGATTTTTATTCTACTATATATTGATTTCGATATATCACACAGTTAAGTATATATTGGCAGGTGATTTTGTCAAAATCTCCACAAATAAATACAGGGTGCTTCCCCTACCTCTGGCTTCAGTGACAAAGAATGGGGCCTGTCAGCCTTGGATTTCAGTTAAGAAATAGTTGTTCCTCTGCCCCTATCTTATTCATACCAAGACAGATTCAGGTTGACAGCTTCCAACCAAATGGAATTTCAATTACAACCCACACTGCAAGTGAAGATTCCTAGCAGCCATCTCGCTAGCAAAACTTTGAACGATCTCGTTCAGTGTGCATTATCAGGAGATTGGATGATATACAATCTCTACTTGTTTCCGCGAAGATGCTCTCGCATAAGCATATGAATCTCTGCCTTGACAGCCATTTGCATTTTTTTAGCATCCTCCCATAGTAAACCACCATGCACTCGGGCAAAGTCAGAAGCAGACTCAAAGATGTCCTGTCCAATAGAAGGCATGAACTCCAAAATATGATCACAAAATATTCAGAATATCACTCAAACCAAGATGTTTGAGATTACCCTCGAAGAAAATTCATCATAAAAATGAGCAGGGGTCATCTCAACTCTATTTAAATCAGTTTCCCACAATCTTATCTGCAACAAAGAGTGCTTATCAAAATTAGAAAGTGAGAAATAACAAGATCGTCCCTATTGTAATCTACTCTCTTACAGAAAATGGCATGCTCAATATGCTTCCCTGGAAGTCAGGATGTATAGGTTCAAATGAGTTGATCACATGATAGTGCCAAAATTTTAAGCAGATTAACTATTTAACCTGATCTGTGACATTTTCGGGTACAGATGGTAGTTTCTCAGCAACTCGAGGATGTGCATTCTGCTGGAGGAACGTAATTATCTGTATTCAGGGGTTACACAAAGCAAACAAAGCTGCTCAGGCTACATTGGATGATTTCAGATTTTACAATTGTCAATGGTGTGATTTCTTGCATGTCCAGATCCTGCAAATTCGGACATAAAAAAGCAACTAGAAATGGATACTAACCTGCTCAGCTGTAATTCCATTTTCAAAAGCATTGTACAGGCTTTCTTTTGTTATTGCGCCAACTATGAGGTTTGGAAGTTGATACTCTACCCTACAAACGTGAGCACATTATTATTTAGTCAAGAAATCAACAGTGAGTATAGGAGTAATAAATATTAGAATCCTAGAACAAGCAGGTAAAAGTGGTTGCTTATAAATGGCAATCAGCAGATTATAGGTGAAATGAAGAGCCTTTGGGCATTATTGAGTGAATAAATAGAGTGGAGAACTTGAATCAGAAAAGAGAAATATTAATCAGCTAAGTTTTGAATCAAGCACTAACAGCTCCATCATTTACTTACAAATTTATTACTACACTTTTATCATCTTTTACTCAAAATCACTCTTGAAAATGATATTCAAAAGTTATCCTAAGGAAAGACCATTTTTCCAAAAAAATTTAGCAGATAATTAATCACTTTGCTCATTGTTTGAAGATTGTTTTGTTATTATTCTATATAAATACAATTTGGATCTTCCATAAAGCAACCGATACAGCATTTTCTAACTGAACAATAATCAAGGATTCATCACCTTATACCTTGAAAATAGACGTAAAATTTCACAGTGTAACTTAGATGACGAGTATGCATACATCCTAAAGTTTGTTTCCACAACAACAAATCCCTGAGGCGAAATATAGCAAAAGAACTGCATGAGTAAGAGTAACACAACTACAGAAAGCCCAGACAACAGCTAATATAATCAGAAACTATGTATTCACACAAGTCACTTGTTTAGCCATACCTGTTTCCTTGATGATGAATCTGTTAAGCTCACTGAAAGATTTGTGGCTAATTTAGTAGGTATAAACCACCTCTCTCTCCTTCCCTGAACATATGAAAATACCTCAGAACCATCTTAAAGCATTGCTTTTAAAAGATAGTCCATGTATTCCTGTAAGAAGAATAGCCTTAATTAGGAGAACCTGCTGAAGTTTGACCAATCCCAAGTCTGCAAGGTCCTTGATCATAGCCTCCTGGTCATCCGCTAGAGTATTTAAATTATATGCCTATGACAAGACAAAGCAAATTTAGCAAATTAGTCCAGAAATGCCACATCAAAGAACCTCAAGGAAAGTCGAAAAAAAGCATTACCAAAAGGGGGTAAGCTTCTATGCAAATAACAAAAGACAACTAAGTTCTTGAACAAATATGCATGAATAGAACTTTTCTATGAAATATGCATGAAGAGAAAAGTTATAAATTAATAGGGCGTACCTCACCAGTGGTATGAAAACTAAGTTCTAGCAAAAATGCAATTAAATCAGCTTGGTCTACACCTTGCTCCTGTTGAAAGTCTTAGCATAAGATAAAAATACTTACTATAAAATGACAGAACAAAAGTTGCATCAATGACCTTAATTTCATGTAAAAAAGGCCATAACTAGGGACCACCTTTTATTTTTCCTTCATTGAAATGGTCAATAAACTGGATCCACCCATCCACAAACACATACACAACGATAGATCTATGTAGGCAATGGCCAGAAATAATTTTTTCCTTGCATTAAAAGTAGCTATCATGACCCATATATAAACACTTCATGCACAATGGTATACACAAGCACACATGTATATACAAGCTCTAGCATTCTTCGAATACACACACCCTAGGGTACATTCCCATTTAAGAGGAAATACATACTAATAAAAATGAATCAAAGTTCTATGTACCAAAAAAAAAAAAACTGAATCGAAGTTCTGAACAGAAAAGTCAATGCCAATAAAAATTTGACAATAAATCCATTCCAATTTCCCACATCCAAGTACTTAACAGCACAATATATGTAACAAACAATTTCCAAGGAAAACACCAAAAAGATACCACGAACTATACCTCTGAATTGGAGATATATTCTCTGATAATATACCAAAGCTGAGCGTTTGTATCCATCAGCTGTAAATTACAGATGGGAAGTAATTTTAGGCAACAGTCAACCAAAGAGAGAAATGCAGAAGGACCATGGTTTATATGATGCACACCAAGAACTGGAAACCACTCTCAGTTAACCTCGGAGCTTCTTTGTCTCTGTAAAACAGACATATAAACAGCATGAAACAAAACGTGAGATATGGAACCCTCGTTATCTAATGCATAAAAGAAATGAAGCTTAAGTGCAAGGCAAGAAATACCACCTCTGACGTAGCAGACCACGCTGAAAAATTCTCATCATGGAAGAGCTGAAGCTTGACGATCTTTCAGCTTGTCCTGAACTTATAAGTTGCAGCAAGAAACACTGCTTAACAAAGCTGAAGAAGTAAGAAGCAGCTCAAACAATAAACCTAAACAATTCAGCAAATTGCAAAAGTAATTGCATCATTCTACATCACATACATACCATCAAAAACACAAATTCCTTAGAAACAGATGGGTGACATAAATTCTGCCAATAAAACAATCAAAATAAATAGGTGAAATTCACACCTCCCATTGCTCATGTGCATAAGCATCAAGTTCCTCCAAGGTTGGGAGTCTAGCAACAACATTTGAAGGCATTGGTTCTCTAGACAAAATCCCACTGCAAAACAACATTTCTTTATATACTACGACGACAACAACACATCCCAAGGAATCTAATGACAAAAAAAACAATCAACTACATGAGTGATAGAATTGGATGTAACAAAGGGCAAAGTTTTAGCCCCTTTAATTTTGACTACTGCAAACGAAAACAAGTACCATATAAATTAAAAAAAATACCCATATATCAAATGTTTCCGGAGATTAGTCTGAAATGTGGGTTTTAACTTGTAAGTGGTTTCCTTCTTCCTGGCAAAAAAAAGAGAAGACCGACTAATTCAATTAGCACATACAACCAAAAGAAACACGGTTTTCACAAAGCTTAAGATGATCTGTACTTCCTCTCGATCATTATGGTGGCGTAGCTATTTGATTTTGAAAAGAAAGATTAGATAAAACTAAGTAAATAAGACGACAAATAATTTACAGTTGCTTACCTATCGATTACTTCCAATACTCTTAATTGAATCAACCGATCGATCGCAACTTGGTGCTTAGAGGATCCATCGGCAAGCACCCACTCCTGCAACGACTTGAATGTCATCGGAACATCAATGTATAACATTTGTAACACGTATTTCTTCGCCAGAGGCGGCATCGACCTGCTCCATAAACAAATGCATTCGATCAATAGATAGTTTTTTTTTTTAAATAACAATTTTAAAAAATTAAAAAAAAAAGAAAAGAAAGGAAGACCTGAGAATGGCTTCGCAAATGAATTGATTATGATAAAGTATGTCGAGCTTAATAGCAGGCAATGAAGCCACCATGTCCATGAAATTCTTCGCGATAATCTTCACCTGAGGCATTTTTCTCTACTTTTTTTTTCTTTAGATTTTTTGGTTTTCGGCAGCATGTACGATGAAACTAGAGCTCCAATCCAGCTTTGATAAATGAAAATTATAATGGTTGCTGATTTCTCTGCATCAGCATGACCAAGCTACGGGGTAAAGCTTTATGCGACGTGTTGGCAGGGACCGAGCATCCTTCTGCATTCAGAGGGCCTTTTTTTTTTTTTTTTTTTCTTTTTCTTATTGCAAAAGACGGAAACGTGACAACAAGGTTGGGCTGGATATACTGTGGTTTAAAGTCCCAAATAGTGGGCCTACTAAGCCTATTGGACCGACTAATTATTGTTTCATTCGGGCCGCTTAGCTTATTTTGAAAATATCAATCAAGTTCCCAAATATATTCCTTCAATAACTTTTTAAAAAATATATTCTAAACTTGTTGAGTTTTACGGGAAGGCTTGGGCGAGTTCACATTCCCAATTGAGTTGTCACCAGTCAGTCAGTCATCACTCACCACCAAAGGCCAGAATTATTAACTCCAAACGTTGTCGGTAGAGGTTGCGACTGGGCAATAAGCCAGCCAATAGGGCTCCCAACTCCTTAACTTTTATTCTGGAAACCTTTCAAATATCCCAAGATTTCATGGAACAACGACTGATTTGATGAGTATATCAACTCGGCGAACAAAGAACTTTCCTGTCCAATCAGAGGGACTCGATCTCCTGCAATCTGTTCTGTACCAAAATTTCATTCACAAAGATCAACCACAATCAAATGCTGCAAATGCATGGCTCTGAGTAGTTTCCAATCAAACTTCAAAGCAAACATTCTGAAGTTTCATTAACGATATGAAATACCCAAAATCATCAAATCTCAGCAAGCTTCATGTGTCATGATTAACAAAAATGGAATGATAAATCGCATTCACATCTCAGTTAGCAGAGATCCAGAAAATTAGAAGTTGATTTGAAGGTTAACTAAGGAGACAAGGGACAAATTACAGAAGAAAAAAATATGCTTCTTCTCCAAAACAGCCCGAGAGGCCAAGACCATATCATATCAATATTAGCATGTCAGCAACATGATGAATCAACTCGCAGGCTATTCAGCTAGTAAGATTATTGAGGTATTAACTTAATCATATTTTATGTTTCACCTCTTCTATGCTGACGTACTTGGTATATCTTCAGCAGGTTCATCAGGTTTAGTGGCAGGTGGGTTTGGTGGTTTCTTCACTGGAGGAGGCTTGGGTGTAATGGTCTATTTGGTCTGACTTGATCGACTTTCTCTTTACACATTTCGAACTGCAGTATATAAAGAAACATCAAATTGCCAATAAAACATAGGTGAAGAAAGCGAATGACTAGTCCTTCAAATTCGTGAGGTCAAACCAACCTTATAACCACAGCCAGCTACACAAGCATGGAAGCATTCCTGTGTGCAGAAAAGGAAGCAAAATGAATTTAATAGTATATTTGACCAAAAATTATGCTTTCTTTCATTATTCCGTATTAGACTTAGACATTCTTATCATTCTTTTCTTGGTAAAATTCCTACCATTTACCCAATTGCACTGTGTATACATCCTTATGCTTTGAATTATGAGATGTTTGACTAACAAACTCCAAAGCACATGATATGAAGTACTAATGTTACCAAAGCACCTTGCACCTTTAGTTTGATGCCTCAACATTGTGCAAACCATTACAAATTTAATTCTTTGGAAGTGCCTTATTAGGCAAAGTATAATCAGGATAATAGAACAAGCCACCTTTCAAGAAGCTTCCGTGTGACTATGGTGCTCATCTTCCTACAAGAAGCTCAACAAACAGCTAAAGCATACCATGTTTTAATGAAGTCTAGAAGCAAGACAAGAAGTGGAGCTGACATCACCAAGCACAGAAACAGTACCTTGGGGGCGCTATAGGGAAATGTCATTGTAATAGAATTTCCTCTTTTGAACACTAAATTCAAGTATGCATCCACATTTTGTTTGAATTCATTGCACCTCCAAGAACATTTCAAACATAATCAAGCAGCATCACTGGTTATCAACTGCAGAGCGCCTAAAAAGCATCCAAGGGAGAAGATTACCCTTGATACACATAAAGACTTAGTTTGTTGTGCCTCAACCTGTCTACACTTACAATCAATTGCAACCCAGTGCAAAAAATCATCTCTGAATAACAGAAGTAGAGAACACCAAACTTAAAAACTGCTATAAACTTTTCCTAGAGAACTGCACTTTAGATTTCTATAGAAAACATAAATCAACTAAATTTGCATAACAGTGGACTTTCAGAAGTTCATAAATAACAGCTCTCATTCTTTCAAAGAAGTAACTCGTAAAGAGGAGACATAAAAACCAGCTCATAACAATCCAATGACTGTAAAAAGCAGTTCAACCATATTTGACATGATAAGCTCGAAGTAAATGACAAAATCTAGGGTCATTACAAGAATAAAAATGGGGTAAAGAGTGGCCAACGGATAAAATACCTCAGAATAATTGGCAGCTCCAGGAGAGCGATCAATGTAAGCACTCCACTGCTGGTCCTTTAATACAGGATCCTTATAGCATATCTCATTGCACTCAGATAAACCTGAAAAGCCCATAATCTTAGCAATTTAAGATATAATCAGCTGCAAATGATATGTTGCCTTACCACTGTATCTTAGTATAACACTATATCCGTTAAGGTTGGTTAAAGAACTCTTCCAATTGATGAAATCTTTCTAAAGTAAATAATCTTGTAGAGATTGAATGCTTGATACATTAATCAATAATGAACCGTTATTCTCAAGAATCAATGATAAGAATGTTGCCCATTCTTCGTTATAAGTTGCCTCATTTTTCTTATCAAACAAATGAGCTCAAATTGTAACCAGAAACTCATGCCTTAGTCAGATCCTCGGTGAGATTAATTCCTTGCAAATATGAATTAAGCACTGTAAAGCCAAACAATGAACTTCAAAAACACTGATGTTTGGCAATTTGGATTAAACTATATCAGATTCAATGTACCATACAACTTTTCCTTGGAAACGGTTTATAAATTATATGCAACATAGAAACAAAACTGCTTACATTCTTCCCATGTCTCCCCATCCGGTCACACCCTTTTTTGGCAAAACACTCTCCCTGCAAGAACTCGCCATGGTTAGTAGAGTCAATGGATAGCAGACACACAATCAATCCAAGTATATTTCTCCAATAAATCAATCATTGTTCATAATTCAAAAATAGGTGGAAATTAAAATGAAGAAAATCCCAAATTAGTCTTGTAATCAACTGATTAAGTAAACAAAGTAATTTATAGCTTAAATTATTATTAATTAAAAACCAAATTTAGCAACATGCATAGAGTAAATTTAAAAATCATTTGAAGAAATCCTCTCAATCCCTACAAAGCAATAAAACACCAAGAAATACAAAAATATAATGAATTAAATGGAAAGTTGACCTTGAGGCAAGAAATTCAAATGCAACCAATTCAACCCAAATTCTAAGATCTATTAAATAGATATTGAAAGTATCGTACAGTTTAAAGCAGGGAGAAAGTAAATTAAATCAAAATAAAAGGGAAACAAGGAAAAAGAAAGTATACAAGGAATTTGCATGAGAGTAGCGTATTTGTGAGTGCATTGATTTCCACATGGGGAAGCCCATTGCTGAGGTATCATTTTTGTCTTCCTTTACCTTGCTTGCTTTCCTCTTTCCAAACGCTGCGTCTCCGGCGGACGAAATTGGAACTTGGCTTTGAGCTTGGGGGTTTCTGTCAGGTTATAGAAGGGTAATTTAGTAATTCAAGTTCTTATCCTTTTTGTTGGGTTCAGGACGACCCCTGCATTTTTGGTTGGGCCTACCGTGGGATTTTCTTTGTAATAAGAACGCCTCGATTC